CCTCCAGCCATTCCTTGCATTCCACCAGCCATACCCATACCTCGATTAAGAGCGCCACCACCCATTCCTTGGAGTCCTCCAGCCATTCCTTGCATTCCACCAGCCATACCCATACCTCGATTAAGAGCGCCACCACCCATTCCTTGAAGACCTCCAGCCATTCCTTGGAGTCCACCACCCATTCCCTGGAGACCACCGGCCATACCCATTCCTTGCTTAAGAGCGCCGCCGCCCATTCCTTGAAGACCACCGGCCATTCCTTGGAGACCTCCAGCCATACCCATTCCTTGGTTTAGAGCACCGCGTCCCATTCCTTGAAGACCACCGGCCATTCCTTGGAGACCTCCAGCCATACCCATTCCTTGGTTTAGAGCACCACGTCCCATTCCTTGAAGTTGTCCACCAAAATTTCGGGCTTGATTCAATGCACCGCCGGCCATACTTCTCGCCTGATTAAGAGCCCCTTGTCCCATTCCTCTGAAGCCACCTGCCATTCCCATGCCTTGCTGAAGAGCTCCTTGTCCCATGCCTTGAAGTTGTCCTTGAAGACGTTGAGCTTGACTGAATGCACCCATGCCAGCGCCTCAAATTAGAATCAAGTACTTTACATTACACATTACGTATGATAAATACATTTTAACCACAGCATTAATACCTTGTAGATTTCTAAAAGCCGACTGTCCTTGTCCAAGTGCACCCTGTCCCATATTTTGTAATTGTCCACCTAGTCCTTTGGCTTGGTTTAATGCACCCATTCCGGCCCCTTATATAGAGATAAAATACAATTATCAAATGAATAATAACTGATCACAAATGAGCATCAATATTACCTTGCAGATTTCTAAATGCTGATTGGCCTTGGCTTAGGGCACCTTTGCCCATTCCTTGGAGCTGCCCAGCCAATCCTTGAGCCTGGAATGAGATTTCATATTATAATGAAAACCACGTTTATGTTCACTTCTTTATATATATATATCTGTGATTACTATATTCATATATCTGTGATTACTATATTTTAGGATTAAGACAAATCCAGTTTGGTGATGTGCTGACCTGTCCTAGAGCCCCGCGTCCCATGTTCAAGGCCCCTTGACCAGCATTTTTCACTTGATTGACAGCACCCATCCCTTGATTTTTCAAGTTGTTGAATTGGCTCATAGCTTGCTGCTGAGCTTGATCTACAAGGAAATGATTATTTTAACATTATAAGCAAATGAATACCTTACAAAGTATGTATGAAACAGCAGTCCAGGTTTACAGCTGGTATGAATCATAGGTGATTATCAATGAAAAGAGCGATTTCTCGTAGAACTCATTTGTAAAAACAAATGATTATTTTGATCGTATTCTATAGAGAGTATCAAATATTTCTGGAAGCATTCTGAAACGTACTTGCAGTGTTCCTGGCTTGATTGATCATGCCCATTCCAGCACCTTTAGCTTGGTTAAACGCTCCCATTCCTGCTCCTTTGGCCTGGTTAAACGCTCCCATTCCAGCTCCTTTGGCTTGATTCACTGCTGACATTCCAGTTTTCTGTAATTTGCCTCCAACCGCTTGTGCTTGGCTTACAGCTCCTTTTCCCATCTTTGTAGCTTGTCCTGCTAAGTCTTCACCCATGTCTTTGGCTTTATTTATCTGCAAGAATAAGTTCCCAAAAAATRAAAAATTGTATAGGGTCGATTCWGGAATGTTTTCACAGCTTTAAATCATATGATAAATATCGGAAGCTTGGAGAAAACCAAAACTGTTTATGAATGTGTTTTAGCAAACCTAGGGTGAGTTGTGAATGTAGGCCAGGAACGCAGTCAGCCCCCAAATATACAAATATCTTCCATATCTTCCATATTTCGATAATGATAAAGGGAAAGTGCAACTGATTGTGTAGATTTAGTCTTCAATACCTCTTTCATGACTTGGTCTTTTATTTTTACAAATTCCTTCTTGCCCTTTTCAAATAGATCAAGAGCCATCTTTTGTGCTCTGTCAACGTATTCTGCTATTATTGGACGCAGCTTCTCGACAAGTTTCCTCACCTTCGTTAAAACATATTATACATTGTAGAATTACTTTATTACTAAAATTGATGTTATTGTGGTAGCCTGCGTAGCGTCCCTCTTGGGATCCCTGTGGACGAGGAAAGAGGGCTCCTCTCTAATTAAAGAGGGCCGCTACGCAGGCTATTATTGTGGTAATCATGACGAGTAAAGCGGAAATTCTTTTTTTACAATTATAAACATGACACATTTTCAAATTCCAGCAACCATCATATATATTGAAAGCCTTCATTACTCAAATTGTCAACGCAGAATGAAGTAGATGGTGGTTATCCCACTTTACCTTTGTCTTATTGACTTTATCCAGTAAACCATTTATGTCACCAGTATCATAATTGGTGATGGAACCAATCTCTCCCCCGATATCTCCGGCGATGTCACTACCAATACTCTTCATTTCTTGTAATACTGTTTCTTCAAACATCTTCAAGGCTTTTAAACCATATGCTTTCCCTTTCTTGTAATAATCTATCACAGATCCGATGCGAATAAACATAAGTTCAAAGTTGCTAATGCTGAAAGTTGGGCGACCTCAAATGCACTCTACAATATACACACAAGGGCGGATGCATCGAGGATGCAGGGAGTGGCAAAAAAGTTAATAACTGTGTTTTCTTATTTTCAATATGTTAAAAGTTTCAGCTGGATCCGCCCTTAGCACAACAGATGAACGCAGCTGCAGAATAGAGAATGACTTATAGTTGAAGAATATAATTTGACAAAGTGTCATTACATAAATTGAAGTTGTTGACTTACTCATGACCATCGGTAAATATTTTCCCTTGATTTGTTCTTCATAGTATTTTTTAGCTTTATCGATTAATGGTTGTATCTGGTAATAACATTATACATATATACCACTGTTACTGATTTATAATCTCAGAATAGTTTCCTTCASGGATACCTGCACCATCTTGAAAGGTAGCCGTGCCTTAACATGGAAGCGAGACAACCGTTGAGCGTGCAATGATAGATACCTGTGAATAATTGTGTGTAGGTGTGAAAGAAGGTTTATATCGGTCGTCTCGCTTCGATGCAAAGGCATGGCTACCTTTCAAGATGGCGCAGGTAACCGTGAAGGAGACTATTCATAGAACAGTCAACGACGGAAATGAACTAATCAAAAGTATACATAATTCATTTATTAGGATTAGTCTTTACCTTCTTATAAAGATCTTTAGCCTGTATTTATTAATAGAATTAGGTTGGTTAGTTTATATTAGAAAATTATTAGATTAAAGTTAATAATATAATGATATACTGTTGTCTAATCGTAGGCCGATTGATAAACAGATTCTAAAAATACCCTTACCTAAGYGATTAAAGTGTTATGAGTAATTCATTATTATTGCCTATTAGTATATTAGTCATCATCTTCAAACAAATTTGCGTTATGTCAATAATTGTTAAGCCTAGTTGCACCTTTTTCATAAGATCGTCTTTTCCGCCTCCTGTAACATCTTTCATCATTCCCATGCCTTGGTTTTGAAGCCCAGAGGCCACATTCATCCCTTGACCTTGAAGGTTAGTAACCATTCCCATTCCTTTAAATATTTCAAAGGGTTACGTTGCAATATAAAGATTAGGGAAACCACTTTTACGGAATAGTTTTGGAACAGAGCAAAATGTTCGGTTTATGGGTTCACTTATGGGTTAAATCACGAGGCTTACCTTGCCCTTTCATCTTGTTCATCATTTCCATTCCTTGGCCTTGCATCTTATTCACCATCCCCATTCCTTGTCCCTGGAGCTTGTTTGCTAATTCTTGTCCTTGTCCCTGGAGCTTATTTGCCATACCCATTCCTTGTCCCTGGAGCTT